AATATATTTAAATAAAATGTGGCTTCTTAAAACAACAATGTCAATGTTACGTAAGATTTATTTATTTATGATGATAGAAACTAAACAGTGGGAGATACCTAGTTGAGTGGAAGGAAAGTTGTTGATAGGTTTATGTAGCTTTTTTGAGATTAGTTATAATGATCTCTGCTTTAAGTTTTATCCAAATGAGAGATGCTTCTGCAAGTGTTAAACAGTTGTGTCACAGACTTCTTTGAACTCAAGCCTTTAATATTTTCCTTATACATTAAATGATTATACCAAACATGTATACATATGAATGAACATACCTGCCTGCCTGGTGGTTTTCAAAATTCAGTGAGGTGCTGGTGGTACTTTGTAAAATTGCAAAGTTCCAGCCCTAAACTTCAGAATCAAATGGAATAGTTGGAGGGCAAGCTTCTGAAAATAAGCACCCCAGGCGATTCTGAGGCCAGCGTTACCATCCAGTTTGAGAAATCCTGCTGAAGGTGTTAGTTTTGGAAGCAAGGAAAGGGATCCCAAACCTTTGATGGTACAATAAGGGGTCTCTGGGAGTTGGACCCAGGAAGTTGGAAAAGCTGCTTTCAGAGAATTCTGTGGGTCCAATTGTGACTTTGTTTCAGATACCCTACCCTCCGTCCCGTGAAGATGTCTAGGATAAAGCAAGTCTGCAGTTTCCTGTGTATTGTCGACGTAGTAGCTGTCAATTGGCATTGCAGAGCTAACCGAAGAGTCTGACTTCCAGGACCTAAGCTCTAAAAAGATTATGATATCCTCCTGTATCTCATAAAAGTGTTCATTTTTCCAAATGTCATCAAACACCATATGTGAGCTGACATTAAAATAGTTTCTTAAACATATGCTGTTGGCAAAAATTAGAATTGTGAGTAAATTCATCAAGGCAGAAGTGTTTACTTTCCTTGTCTCTGTCTCTGTCTGGGCCCGGTGCTCCAGGTGGATAGAGTCCTTAAAGCATGCTCACTCTGCCTACACATTTATCTAGCTCTCCCCTGAATGGCAGCCCCATTTGTTCTGATGCTCTGTCAATTCATTCAATAAGTACAGATGTTGTGGCGTATGCGTCAGTGTCACAGGGGGTCACAGAGCAGGGAAAGTTGGAGGGTGTGCCCTAGAAAAGTGCTGGTCAGTCTCACTGGGGTGAAGTCTGGGACGGGAACCGGATGAAGCCAGTCTGGGGACTCAAGCTCCCTATTGTACCACTTTTATCTAAGAGAAAAACAGTAAAAGGGAAGAATAGGAGTCTGCATTACCCCTCTTCTCTTTTTCTTTTCCTCTGAGAAATTTTAGTTCAATTTTTCAATATCAGAAAGCAATTGCGAAGAGAAAAGTGAAGACTGGGAGAATAAAAGGCCACCACAAAAGGAATGTTTTATAAAACTGTTTCAATTGTATTTGACAGCCTTCTGGAGAAAAGAAAAATGGTAACCCAGTTCTCTTTTTGGGTACAGCTCACCATTTTGTCCTATGCTTAAATTTCAATAGGAACATTTTTTTGCTCTTTAAGTGCAAAGATATACATTCACTACTCCTACAGGAATTTTGAGTCTAAGTAAAGTGTTAAATGAGGTGTTGAAACTATAAAAGAACACAGGCTTTTCAATTCTCATTTAAACCCCACCCCATTGAAGTACAGACTCTTCTTTTCTACATTCACTACAACATAAAGGGCTGAAATGAACTATTTCGTTTGTCTGGCGATATTGGCTAGGAAGTTGGAGTTTTTTAAACAAAGGAAGTAATAGACTTTCGGCTGAATTTTTACTGCTAGGGGATGGCCCAACAGAGTGCTTCCTCTTTCTTTTAAGCACAAAGGGCTGGGATTTAATTGCATTATAAACCATTTCATCAACATATCCATGAAATAATAAGCATCCACATACTTTGTTCTCTTCTTACTATGTCAGGCAGTCAGTGGAAATTAAAGAAAAACTGGTTTTGAGATGAAGAGGGAACCAGCAAGTTAATATTCCTAGAGAAATAGAAAGAAACAATCATAAAGAGGATCAGGGCTTTCTGCCTTTCGTCCTTTTCTCGTCGGGAGGAACCTGTTACAGAAGTGAGATTGGTTCTTTTGTGGGATCTTCAACAGCCTGTAAAAGGATAAATGGAGCAAGGGGCACTAATACCTCACTACCTCAATTGAAATCCAGCGTATTAGGGGGAAAATGGAAGAAAATCTTCTAGATGGCCAGGAATTTGGAGTCAGACTCTGGCATAAACACTTGGCTTAGAAAGGAGACAATGAGGCCAGCCTCGCTCTCTCAGTCAGCTCAAGAGTAATCCAGGACAAATGTACACTGTGTACCCCTCTCCTTCCTGGTCCCCCAAAGATGTGTCTTTGCAGAGGTGTGCTCATTTCTGTTGTTACCCCAGCAGAAACAGGTCTGCTTCTTCTCATATGCCGTTTTCCCTAATCACGGTGTTAGTAGTTTTGAACAGCAAACCTTTACATAACCATGAAGGATGCTCCAAGAGCAGTGTGCTCCTACTTTTAATGTACAAAGCCTCATCTCTGTTCTTTATGGATCTTCATTGTTTAGCTGGAAAAACATAGTGGTTAAACCTCAGGTTCTTCTGCAAGAAAGTTCAATTGTCAGAGATATTTACTGATCACGCCACCTAGCATCTCTGCACCCTCATTCTGTTAATAGCATGCTGGATTACTGTACCCTTGACTCCAGGCTTGCCTATTTAGTGCTGCATAATATTGCTCAGATGGGAGTGACTCCATCAGGAGCAGGCTTGAGACCAAATCACAATGAAAACATTCAAGGAGGTTTGCCTGGCACTGCTGGGCAAGAGACAGCTGTGTTTCCCTGCTGGTCTCGACTGAGTCTGGCTAGGAGGGTGGATCTGCTGGAGACATTCTAACATCACAACAAGAGAGGCTACGTGAGACTGGAACTACCACAGAGACATCTGGGTAAGGATGAAGAGAGGGTCACTGTACAGTCGTGTGCTGCATAACGACATTTTGGTGGGCGACAGACCACATATCAAACAGTGGTCCGATAAGATCAGCACCATATAGCCTAGATGTATAGTAAGGTTATACCATCTAGGTTTGTGTAAGTACACTCCCTGATGTTGGTAACAACAAAATCGCCTAACAACGCATTTCTTGGAAAGTATTCCCATCATTAAGTGACGCAGGATTTTTTTTTTTTTTTGAGGAAGATTAGCCCTGAGCTAACATCTCCTGCCAATCCTCCTCTTTTTTGCTGAGGAAGACTGACCCTGAGCTAACATCCGTGCCCATCTTCCTGCATTTTATATGTGAGACACCTACCACAGCATGGCTTGCCAAGTGGTGCCATGTCCGCACCAGGGATCTGAACCGGCGAACCCCAGGCTGCCAAGCAGAATGCGCGCACTTAACCACTGAGCCCCAGTGATGCATGATTGTATGCTGCTGACGCTCTGTGAATTATTAAATGCCTTCTGGAGCTAGCCCTAGTTCCACTCTTGGGTGTTTTAGCTATGGGAATTCATAACTTCTCTTTTCCCTTAAACTGGTTTTGTCTGAGTCTTCTGTCATTTGCCAAAAAATGAAAACTAAGCAATGTAATTGAGTTCTAATCCCAGCTCAGTCACTTCTACTTGGTAACTTTAAACAAGTAATTTATCTTCTCTCAATTTTTTTTTATTACTTGAATAAAAGCTGTATTAAAATTATCTACCTGATAGGTTTTTTTGTGAAGATTGAGGTTGTGATTGTCAAATACTTGACTATAATAAATGCTCAATAAATATTAGTTTTTATTACCATACAAAAAATAAATTGTACCACAACTCTAATATCCAGTACAAAAAATATCTCTAAAGAACTTTAAAATCTGAGTGTCCTTCTTTTGTAAATATTACACAATTTCTTCTAAGGCTGAAGTGTCATTCTAGTTCAAATTTCATTCTTTCCCTCTTCCTATATTTGATGGAGAGACTTAAATTCCTTAGGCTCAATAACTGCCATTTCATAACTTCTCAGCTCACCCCAATTTGATGTGATGCTGGACGTAACTGAAGTATGGGGTCATAGAGAAATGCACTAACAGAGAAGATCTTGAGAAACTATGAGATTTTTAAAAATAATAGTATTGGAGGTTGACCAATAAGGAAATGATAATAGCAAAAATCAAAGTTCATTGATCAGGGTACATCCAGAAGAGATAAGTTTTAATCTTGGCCCATCTCAATCAAGGAGAATCAAGTGGTGGAGGTGTTCTCTACTCAGAGTTCTCTCTCACCCTCTCTTCAGCTGTTACCTTTATGCAGATGACTCCCAGGGGTATGTCTCTAGTCTTTACCAATTTCCCAAGGCCCAGTCTGCCACAGCTCCAGGCCTCCTCCAAACCTTTGCTGGTTCTTTCTCATCTTTTTGTATGGATAGCCCAGTGGCTCAGATTCTGGGCTCAGACTATAGCCTGAGCTTCTTCATTAACTCAATTGCCATTTCTGTAGATTCTATGTCCTGCATCCATTGCTTTCTTTCAATTCTCTATGTCAGTATCCTGGATTAGGTCCTGATTGCTTCTTGCTGTAGATTTCTAACTATCTTTCCTGTATTCTGTCATTATCTCTCATTTATTACCTTCTCTCCTTCTCTTCCTTTTTCCTTTCAATGTTAGTACTTCCAGAGTTATATCTCCTAAAGAACAATTCCCGTCTCATTAACCCCCTTCCGAGGGTCCATATTATCTTTAGAAGTGGCCTCCAAATTTTAGATCTCATGGACCACTGAAATAAAAATAAATCAGGGAGTCCAAAACAGTGTTGTCAATTTTTATTTTGTCAAGTAAGAACATTAGAACCTCTCACCAAACTGCCTTCTACTTTTACCATCACTTGATAAAAGCAATTGCCTTTGATTCCAAATACAGGAAAGGCATAAACCCAGAATAAAGGAGAGACCTTTAAATTCAACGTATTTTGTTTCATAAAAAAACTTACTAATTGTCTTTATGTTTCTTATTTCTCTCCAGTGTAGTGAAAACTTGGACTTAAACCATCACTGGCCCATGGCAAGCTTTTGGGGACCAATGGCCTGCAGAATAAGGTGAAAATTATGAGCATAGCATTTGAGAGGCAATCCATCTGGCTTACAGGAAACTTTAGTTTGTGCAGGAAAAATGTAATTCTTTATTGTTTCACAAATGCGTTTTGAAAATTCCCTCTTCCATGCCTTGCTTATTCCCTTTTGTCTAAATTGTAAGCTTCTTGATTACTCCGCAGCCTCTCCCCCTCAATTCTCAACCCACCCTTATTTAGAACTAACTCACATGCTGTCTTTCTCCCCATAATTGTAATTCTCCCATTCTTAATTAATCTTTCCTTTCATTCTGTACTCCATTACACCTGGAACTTTTATACCTTTCATATTCTACTTGCCATGTGTTTCATTGTTATTACTTATGCACAGTTTACTTTATGGCGGGGGCTGTGTCTTATAGCCATTAACAGGCTGCATAGTAAATACCTGTGGAATTTGGAAATCTCAATTTTATTAGAAATGTAGTTTTTAGAAGATGTAAAAATAATACCATTCTCAGTGTCTAATTCAGTATCAGTGGTTGAGTGAAGGAAAACGTTCCTGTGCCAAAGGAACAACATACTATAGGGGCTGAAGAAGCCAGACATATGATTCCGAAGGGCCAAGGGAAAGGAGTGGGAGGAGGGATAGTGATCCTCCCACAGGAAGAGCAGGTTGGAACCCTGCGGTTCTTCCTGTCTGGTTCGCATGGGATGAGGTGAGCTGATGGTCACTGAGGAAGTCCTCACGGGGAGGCAGGTGGCCAGGTTTACCTTCACTGCCTTGCAGGCCGACATTCTGAGGTAGCCCTGCTTGCTGAATAGGGGAAACGCCAGGGTAAGAGTAGAAGGCTGACAGGAAGACAAACAAAAGTCTAGTCATGTGGAATGGGATTAAAACAGAACAAAGCACAGAAACCTGCTCTGGCAATTCATTTGATTCCAACATATTTATTCCAAAGGGAAAAGTGCTTTTGCCGTCTGACCGGGAGAGGATTGGCAGGCCAGAGGTGGAGGAACGATATTCCTCCCTTAAAGGCGGTATTCCTTGATGCTTTGCTCTAGTTCACAAGTAACATGGTACTGAGACAAAGTAGAGAGAAAGAAAAAAAAATGTGTGAACCCATCTACCAGAAGGAAATAAATTCAGAGCTAAGCTCATTTTTCCTCTGGCACAAAAAAAATGTTATCTTTTCCAATTTCCTTTGAATTGGAAGTCTGATAGACTAGTAAGAAGATCTATCTACCTGTCTATCTAGCTAACAACCAATCATCTATCCACTTCATTATACACTTGGTAAACGACTTGCACTTTCAGCCAACTTGCCGTCCCTCACACTCGAATTCTACCAGACCAGGAAGCTGCCACAATATTCATCTGGGCAAGATATTTCTCATGGAGTACTCTAATTTGGCACCTGTTAATAGATATTGTGACTGCCTGGAAAGTCCTAAATTATTTCACTGATATTTAGAGGTGTCTCTGCCTGGCCAGGCTGCTACTGTATAAAGTGGAAAGAATAAATCTGAGAAAATTCATTCCATTTATCTTGATTCACTGTTGTGGGAGCAGAATTCTGTGTAACAGTAATGTTTATAGGGTATGGTTTCCAATACCGTGGTATGCTTCATTGTGCTGGTGAAAATATCAACAGTAAACATTATAATGAGTTGACTAGGACCTGAACCCTGTCAGACAGTTGAAATTCTAACAGAGCACATGTTTTTTTATGGAGGCCTCAGAGCTTGGTTTCTAGATATTTTCCTTTCTATTGAATCAAGCATTGAACATAATATACATGCTTTCTCCCAGTCCCTTGTTTTTCCACATAAATTATTCAATGATTAGGCTTAGTTAAAAAGATGCAAACTACATTTCTGGAAAATGTGACAACTGATCATTTCCTATCTCTGTTATTTGAAACTTGTGTGCTAAGCTCTAAGTGCATAAATATACATATGCTTAGATTATAACACGTGATGAATGAATTTTTTCTGTCATAGTAAGTGAAAGCAGAGCATACCTCAGGCAGAGCGGAAGTATCCACTTAACACTGCTGGCGGAGGAATTTATCTAGAGTCCCATCAGAGTTGTGCTCCCAATGACTAAGACAAGGCCTCATAGTTTTGCTTGAATTTTTGCTTTAGTTCTCTGATACAGTTCGTCTCAGAGGTCACCCATTGTTCACCTAATTAGCTAATCTGATACAAGCAATGAAGAATCTCACTTCTTTAATCTTTTCGCTCATAGAGGTCTGTAGTACATGTGATATTGCAGTTTTTTTAAAAAGGAAAATTTTGGAATTGAGAAGTACCTATTTGTTAGCATTTTAATGAATTTGGAGTATGTTTCTTTTGGAAATACACTAAGTTCCCTGTTGTTATGGACCAAATATTTGTCCCCAGATACATATTTTGAAGCCCTAACCTCTAGTGTGACTGTATTTGGATATGGAACCTCTAAGGAAGTAATTAAGGTTAACTGAGGTCATAAAGGTGGAGTCCTGATCTGATAGGATAGCATTAGACAAGATCAGTGTCTTCATAAGGAGAGACACCAGAGTGTGTGCACGCAGTCTCTCTCTGCAAGTGCACAAAGAAGAGGTCACGTGAGCTGTACAGCAAGGTGGCAGCTGCCTACAGTCCAGGAGAAGAGGTCTGGGAATAAAACTTACCTTGCTGGCACTTTGGTCTTGGAGTCTGTAGCCTCCAGAACCATGAGAAATAAATTTCTGGCTTTTAAGCCACCCATTCTATGGTATTTCATTATGGCACCCTGAGCAGACTAACACACCTGTAAACTTGTATGAAATGTGAGAAAATATGAAATTTGGGGACAAGGGCAGCTATGGCATATGATCAGTGTGGTAATTAAGATCTCAGGAGCTGGAGTCAGTCAGAACAACTTTCCTGTTATCCTTGTTTTGTCACCTCACCAGACTTTAGTTTGTTAACATGCAAAATTGAAACAGTAATGAATTCTACTTAATGAAGTTGATGCAAGGATCATAGGAGTTAATAGAGGCATGGCAGGCCTTAAGTGATCAGTTAATATTAGTTATTACTAGTATGATGACCTGAAAATAGGTAAAACAGGGTGTCAACTTCATGTAATGAAAATGAACAATTGTGTTTATGATGTTTTAGAAACTAAAACCACAAATGTGACACTCATAAAAGATTTGGTATTGTTCGGATTTGGTGCTGCAAGCAAAAGCTAGTTTTTCTTTTTATTTTAGAATTATATCGGTGGTCCAAATACTTCATTTTTCTGAAATTTTTTCATAGTATACTAAAATGATTTTTTCCACGTAGGTTGTACAGTGTGGTAAATACTTAGTAATGTATTCCTTATTCTGAAGAATAATCACCCGTTCTGTTCGCAGGATATTCAAAAACTTACTGAAAGTAACTTCTCAAGAGTGGCACTGAAGTCATTCAGTGAGTCTGTAAACAGTGAAGCATGTGGAGAACACCTCGTTTGCCATCAAAGCCATTGGGACAGTCAAGGTGCCTTAAAGAGCAGTGGGATTAGAACTGAGGAGGATGGATCCCTCCAGGCAGGGCAGCAATGTGTCAACCCTGCTGCAAACGACAACCCCACGGGGCCCTGTGTCTGAGTGGTTAAGGTCACGTGCTCTGCTTCTGTGGCCCAGGGTTTCGCCAGTTCAAATCCTGGGTGCAGACATGGCGCTGCTCATCAAGCCATGCTGAGGTGGCATCCCACATGCTGCAACTAGAAGGACCCACAACTAAAAATGCACAACTATGTACCGGGGGGCTTTGGGGAAAAGAAGGAAAAATAAAATCTTAAAAAAAAAAAAAGACAACCCCACAAAGCTTCAGAGAATGGTACATGGAAGTCTTACAGTGAGCAATCTAGACTTTTGAAGGAATGGGTCTAACAAAACATCTGGAATTCTGTTTGAGGATCAGCTCTGAGCTAACATCTCCTGCCAATTCTCCTCTTTTTGCTGAGGAAGACTGGTCCTGAGCTAACATCCGTGCCCATCTTCCTCTACTGTATATGTGGGACACCTGCCACAGCATGGCTTGATACATGGTGCACTGGTCCTCACCTGGGGTCCACACCAGTGAACCCCGGGTCGCCGAAGCAGAGTGAATGAACTTAACTGCCATGCCACCGGGCTGGCCCCTGGAAATTCAATTTTTTATTTCATGACTTGACAAAATTCTATTTATTGTAAGTAGAAGTAAGAAGTGCAAAAGCCAGGGGAAGAGAAAGAATAGAAAGCCTATCTTTTCCATTCTCCCAATCACAAAATTTGTGGTTGCTGGTTAATCTAACACCACAAAAAACAGCTTTTGATATGGCTCAGTGGCAGAATTTATGTTTGCCTTGAACTGGTGGAAATGTTTCCACAAAATTTTATCAGAAAATGCCCTTTCTTAAGAAACAAATTAATTAAGGAAGGACCAGACAAATAAATGATCATCCTTGAGACTGAGAAATACTGCAGTGAATGGCGTTCCCCAAGTGAAGGTCTGGGCACAGCCTGAAGACTAATGAATTACTTAGTCTCTTCCACTCTGAAGGCGGTGCTTGGATTAGTGTCTGGAGCTGTTGTGAAAGGACTCACAGTTTATGGCTTCTTCCCTTTCTCTGAGCCTCATAAGAGTCAAGCAATGTTGGTCAGTATTTCTCACAAAGTGAGTATATCTCCTCTAATCATCACAACTACAATTGACGTCAAGCAATTTAGAGGAGAAACTAATTTAACCTTCAAGCCTTTCAAGGTGCTTTTTAAACTACTTAATGTAGATCCTAGATATCACAATGATTGACAAAGTATTATCAGCGTCACCATAGAAACCAGAAGGGTTTTACATAGTCCTGAAAGGATCTGACACATTTTTCAAAAGACAAGCCCCATTGATACCACCTGCTGTTAAGAGGGTTCAGTTCTTTGGTGTGTCTTATCTCTGGTGGTTCTTGATCTTCATATTTTAAGATTTGTTTCACTGGTGAGAGGAAGAAAGGCCTTTTTCTATTGTTTGGTAAGTTTC